CCCTGTGGGAGGGGACATTTGCTGCCCACCAGCCTGTACTGGAACAACCCTGCTCTCACTTGCCTACAGAACTACCATTCAGGGTAACATTGATGGGCTGAGGGCGTGGCTAAGTTGTAGAGTACTTCCCTAACATGTGCAAGGTCCTGAGTTTCATCCCCAACACTGCAATAACAGTACCAATAACAACAATAAAAATAACTGGAGCTGGTTAAAAATGTTCAGTGAGCACTGAACTGGGCTGTTTGTAACTTCTCTGGCTGCAGAATCTGATGGTGTCCAGGGAGATTAAAAAGCTGGAAAGAGGACAGCCACATCATGGCAGACTTGGTGTCCAGACCAGGGACTTGGCTGTGTGATCTGGGGGAGTCCTGGAGCAGAGTCCCCACCGTGTCAGCCAGGCAGGGATGGAAGTGGGCCTGTGGTCACTGGGCAGAGGCCAAGACGCTAGAGACCAGGGGGAAGCTTGTGTTGCAGTGTTAGTAGGTGGGCTTCAGATGTCTTTTAATGACTTGCTTTATCAATGATGACAAACAAGTGCGTACAGTATTTAAGCCTGTATCTCCCAAGAGTGCAACACTTATTTATATAAATTATACACATTTATGTTAATGTGCTAATGTTTTGTACAGTGTGAAACAAGCAAAATAGGTACTTTAGAGATGAGACTAGCTTCTTTAAAAAAGTCCCATCACCCACTCAGCCATCTTGCACACCCACTGAAGTGTCTGCACCCCACTCTGGAAACCTGGGGCTGTGGGAGGAGGCTGGCATCTGGATGAGGCTGCTGGGGGTGAACACACGGACAGGAAGAGAGCTGCTCCTAAACAGCTGTGCCATCTCCCCAGTCTGCAGTGTCCTTGTACTCCCTGTGCTACTGTGTGCTCAGAAGGATTCTTTTAATTGACTCACTTGGTTTTTTTTCTCAAATTTAGCCTCATTCTAGGCACTAATGTGCACAAAAGTCCCTCTGTGCAGCTAGAATTTTCTTCTAGTGCCCATTATATAAATACAAAGCCATATAAACAGAACATTTGTCCAGACACCACTTAAGAATCACCTGTTGGCTCCCACCTATGTGATCTATGGCACCGGATTTCAGATCAGATTGGGAGATGAGGGGGCTCCTGAAAGTGAGCCTCCCAGAAGTCCTGGTCCCATATGGACATGTGTGGGGCACACTCTTCATGTCAGGGTAGCTGCAAGCACTGTCAGACTAACAGAATCCGGGGAGACTGGCAGGAGAGTATGTTCCCTGATGAGAGATGTTGTATGTGTTGATTGCAGACTGTGTTAGGCTGTAAACCACCTGCTGTGTCCAGCCACCTGGATTCAGTGCCAGCCCTGCCAACTGCCAGAACTTCCTGCATTGGGATAGGCAACCACTTGTCCATTCAAGAGATACTTATCATGCACCTGCTTTGTGCCAGGCCTTGTAGTAAGCACTAGAGATGCAGGAAGAACAAGACAGCTACTCTTAGGAATCTCACAATCTAGTGAAGGAAGGCTGACATTAAATAAGCAAAATAACAGAGAATAGAAAATCCAGGTAGTTATAAATATTCTAAAATAAAATCAAGGAAGAGGGGAGAGAGAACGAATCTCCTGTGTAGAACAACTTCAAATCATTTATAGAGATTAGAACATAGCTCTCCCTTCTTTGGGTGTGATGTGTGTTTAGTGACTTCCTCCCACAGAGCAGGCATGGAGGAAGAGGAAAACTGACTTTGCAGTGGAGAGACCCAGGGGACAGTAGCTTGGCCAGGCACTGAAGATTGACAGCAGCAGTCATCAGTCACGTGGATAGTGTGTGCCCTGCATATGATGTGATGTGAAGGGTACTTTCCCTCTGTGGTCTTTCCCTAGGACCCAGAACCCCAGTCTTGTACTCTACACAGAGAAACCTCTAGTAACCAACTATAGAAGTGATCCCTGAAAGAACAGCCTTCAAGACCCAGTCTTGATGTCAGAAAAACATCAGACAAACCCAGGGCAAGGGACTCTGCTAGAACTCAGACTACCAAGATGGTTAGAATCAAGGAAAGTTTGAGAAACTGCCACATCTGGAGGATCCTAAACATGATGACTTAATGTAACAGGGGATCCTGGAACAGAAAAAGAACATTGGGAAAGAGTGAAGTCTGAACAAAGCATGCAGTTTACTAGTAATCATTTAAGAAGACGTGAAGACCAAGCCTATAATTCTAGCATTCTGGAAGCAGAGGCAGAAGGTTCAAGGTCAGACTGGGCTACATGGCAATACATACATGTCTCCAAAAAAAAATAGAAAAACTAAATGAATAAAAAGAAATAAAGAAAAAACAGGTAGAGGGGTCATTCAAGATGTCTTCAAGGAGGTGACATTTGAGCTCAGCCTTGGAGGATAGACTGAATCATAGCTGGGTAGGGAAGACCTGGGCAGAGAGCTTTCCAACCAGAAGGAATGGCTGTGTAAAGATCCTGGGGCAGAAACAAGCTTGGAACATTGAGCACCAGTGAGACGCCCAGCACAGCCAGAGTGTGAGGAGATAGCAGAGCTTAGAGAGCCTGGAAGTGAGGTCAGAGATGGATGGGGGCCGGACTGTGTAAGACGTTGAGACCATGGGACAGTGTTTGGATTTCATCCTGGGTATGACAGGAAGGCATTGAGAGTTTTGAACAGGAGAGTGATACGAGCTAATTTGTGCTTAAAATCACTTGGGTTTGTGTGGAGAACAAACAAAGGGGCAAGAAAGAAAGAACAGACCAGTTAGGAGGCCCTTGTGCAAGTGCTGAGGAAACTGTGAAGGACACCATGTTGGACTCTGTGGAAGGATGAGACCATCTTTCTGGAAATGTGGGATCATTTCATCATCTGTTTCTCCTCCAGTATGTCTCTCAAAGGTGGGAGAAGTGACCAGAACCCTGAATTCCATGGGCTGATTGAGCCCCTTCTCATCCACATTGGTAGGGACTTCCTGCAGGGGCACTTGGAAACAGCTCTCCATTTTTAATTCTAGATGTCTTTCTTTAGTGTTCCCTGACTTTTTCTGAAAATAAAAATGTACACCAAGTTGATTGCTAGAAGTTATTTTTACTTAGTCAGAGTAAGGGGCAATCACAGGCTCCCTCTGTCTTGCCCTTTCCAGAAGATGTGAGTCAAAGTTGTTTCTGAAATGTGAACAATTTCAAAATACTTTCACTGAATTTGGTTCTGTCTTTTTAACTATATGTTCTGTGTTCCAAGATGCCTCAAGTCCTTTGGGAAGGAAATATGGCATCAATAAAGCAAAATAACACTTTAAAATCATTAAATAAATAAAATAAATGATTGCAATTTGTATTGTGTTGTCAAAATCAGGGCTGTGGTTTTTTTAGCATTGCCAGACTGAGTAGAGAGAGATTTCTGACCCTGTCCTTTTTTAAATTGGTATATTTTAGATATTCATAGTGATAACATTCATCATAGGGAAATTTGTACCTATACATGGTGTATCTTGCTTTTTTTCATTCCCCTCCCCTCCCTTCAGCCCCTTGTCCACTCTTTATTACAAAAGCTTTGTTCCCATTTCTTCTAGGTTTTTTTTTTCTTGTCACTTCTTTCCTCTCCCCCTTTTCCCCCATCTCATTTGAACATTTTCATCCTATTTCTCAATATCTATTAGATTTTTTGGTCCTTATTTACACTTTCAGTTTCTCACACCAAAGAAACCATGGAAATTTACACTTTTTTTTTTTTTTTTTTTTTTTTGGTTTTTCTCCGGTACCGGGAACCGAACTCACGACCTTGCGCTTGCCAGGCAGGCGCTTTGCCGCTGAGCTAAATCCCCAGCCCCCTACACGTTTTATTTCACTTAAGCGTATGGTCTTGAGATGAATCCATTTAGTTAGAAATGTCTCAAACTTACTCTTGATGGCAGAGTAGTACTTCATTGTATAAAAAAAAACTACATCTTTATCTGTTCATCGCTTCATGGGCATTTGGGTTGTTTCCAAGTTTTAGCTATTACAAATTGTGCTGCTATAATCATGAGTGTGCATATATTGCTCTGATATGATGCTTTTCATTCTTTTGGGAAGATACTAAGAAGGGGAATAGCTGGGTTGAATGAAACCTCTAGTTTTAGTTTTTTTTTGAGGAATCTCCATACTGATTTCCATAGTGGTTGTACCAGTTTACACTCCTACTAGCAGTGGAGAAGAGGTCTTTTTTCCCCACAGCCCCACCAGCATTTGTTATGGCTTGATTTCTTGATAATAGCCATTCTTTCTGAGGTGAGATAGAATCTCAGCATTATTTTAATTTACATCTCTCAAATGACCAGTGATGTTGAACATTTTTTCATATATGTATTTGCTTTTTACTTCTTCATCTGAGAAGTGTCTATTCATTTCAGATGCCCATTTTTAAATTGGATCTATACATTTGGGGGTCTGATTTTTTTTGAGTTCTTTATATATTCTAGATAGTAGTCCTTTGAGGAACAGCTGGCAAAATTTTTTTCCCACACTTTGGGTTGTCTCTTCTCTCTATTGGTGGTTTCTATTGCTGTGCAAAAGCTTTTTAGAAAGATGAGATCCCAGTTATTGATATTTTGTGATAGTTCCTGTGCAATTGGAGTTTTGTTCATAAAATCTTTACCTATACCAATGTCTTCAAGAGTTCTACCTATTCTCTCTTCCAGCAGATTTAGTGTTTGTATTTTAATGTTTAGATCTTTAAGCAATTGAATTTTAATTTAACGCATGATGAAAGATATGGGTCTAGTTTTAGTCTTCGACATGTGGAGAGCCAGTTTTTCCAGCACCTTTTATTAAAGAGGCTGCCTTTCTTCCAGTGAAGATATTTGGCTCTTTTTTCAAAGATGAGATGTCTGGCCGTGTCTTGTTTGCTCCCCAGCATGTTGCTGGTGTTCAGGTCCCCAGTGTTGAACGTTTGCTTATATCCCAACATGTGTATGTCTGTAAGTCAAGGTTTATAAAGCTGTCTGGGCTCATCTAGTCTCTGTGTTTGATTTCAGAGATTGAGATGGTGATCATGGAGCGCAGCAAGCTCTCGGAGTTGGCCGCCAGCACCTCTGTGCAGGAACAGAATACGACGGATGAGGAGAAGAGCGCTGCTGCCACATGCTCTGAGAGCCTGCAGTGGAACAGGTAGTCCCGCAGCCCTGCTGAGCTTGCCTGGTGCTGCTGGGTGGTCCTCAGCCTCACAGAGGCAGGGCGGAGCTCAGCGAGAAGGTTGAATGCTTGTTCATCCCACCCAGATGGCCTCTTCTGCCTCAATATAATCATCTTTTTTTTTTTTGGTTTTTTGGTTTTTCTCTGGTACCGGGAACTGAACTCACGACCTTGCGCTTGCAAGGCAGGCGCTTTGCCGCTGAGCTAAATCCCCAGCCCCTCTTCTGCCTCAATAGACCATGCTGCTTCCCTTCGTCCCCCAGTCTTTTCCAGCCTCTGGCCACCCAGAGGCATAGCAATTTCTCTCAAGAGGAATGGGGACAGGGCTGTTACTAGTGCTTGCCTCTTGAAAAGAGAACTATTGGCATAGGATATCACCCTCTTGGAGCACACTGCAGCTGGGCCCCACCTAAAGGATGTGGGCCACATCTTACCCTGGCTGCTCTTAGGGGGTTCCTCACTGGAGCCAGGCTTAGGTTTCCCTGACTTGTTCATTCACTGCCTCACACACTACATCTGCAGGGCTGCACTTAGGGTTCAGCCAGCATGCTGCTGCAGCTGTCTGCCTCTGCCTTGGGCTGATGGGTCATTTCAGTGATGGCCTGTGAAGTTGCATCTTTTCCACCTTGGCACACACATCTCCTAGAACTGTGCCATGGTGCCACCTCCTTCAAAAGGGGACTGCTTCCAGACTGTCCAGTGAACTGTTGGGGAGGATTTCCTTGTTACAAGGTGACCCCACTGCCCAGGCCCCAGCTGATTCCTCTAGCCGCTTATGGCTCATTCACTTCCTGAACTAGGATAGATAGCAGCCCCCTGCCATTCTACTTATTAATCCAACTGAAAGTGAAGAGTTGAAGCCCACAAATTTTATTTATTTATTTATTCATTCATTCATGCATGCATTCATTTTTGTCATGCTGGGAATTGAACTCATGGCCTTCACACTGTCCCTAGCCCTTTTTTATTTTGAGGGTCTCACTAAGTTGCTAACTTGCCCATGCTGGGATCAAACTTGTGATCCTCCTTGCTCACCCTCCCAGAGGGCTCAGATTACAGGCACATACCACCACATCCAGCTGAAGCCCACTACTGTTTTGTCTCCACATCTTGTTTATCTTTTTTCTTGGCAAATGTTTCAGTTATCTAATAGAGGGAGTTAATATTTATCAGATGTGCAAGACAGCCATTTTTAGTTTGTGTTAATAAAATCATTGGACTACGAATGGTGTGGGCTGTTGGTTTTTATATCCTATAAAGACATTTTTGATTTTGTGACAAAAAAAATGTAACTCCTGAAGTTCTGAAAATTTAGGAAGTTATTCTAAGCACAGAAAGTGAGGACAACCTTTAGGTGCCTAGTACAGCATTGGAATACAAATAATTGGGAAAACAAGTAACTAGCAGTGGGAGATGCTTAAACAAACGCAGATATATCTGCTTAATAGAATATTAGCTGCTGCTTTCAAGTGAATACTATGATGATGTGTTTGGTTTCTTTGGATCTAATACATGAAAACAATCTTTAATGAAACACATGTTTTGCATAGTACAGTAGTACTACAGCTTTGCTGAGAAGAAAAATATCTCTATATTTCTCCTGTTAAGAAGCAAACCAAAATTTTTTTTCTAAATTTTACATTTTTAAATTGATATTTTTTTCTAAATTTTAGTGAAGAGAAAGGTTTTCTTTGAGTTGATTGAGATTTTTTCTAACTTTGGGTGACTCCATCTGCATCTTTGACCATGTGACTTAGTAATGGAAGTTGTCTTGGATGTCTTGAGTTGGGCCACCTGTAGGCCTGCCAAGTTTGGGGCCAGGTCACTGCTGTTCTCTGAAATTGTATGCCTAGGTGGAGAGCTGGATCTCTGTTGCAGAGATAGTTGGTTGCTGATTGTGAGAGACTGTAACAGCCCTCTGTCCCCTGCACTTCCCAGTGCTGAGGGAGCACACAGAGGGTGAAGGAGGATGGCCAGTTGTTCTCCAGGATGGACATTGCATCTTGGCACTGGATGACCCACTTGCCCAAGGAAATAGCGTAATAAAACGTAGAGCTCTTCGTATATTCCCTGTGCATTATGAGCTCTACTTGCATTTAGAGTTGACTATAAACTTAGGCAACTAAAAACATTCAAAACATTGCTTCTTTTAAAAAGTATGACATGATACAAATTCAGAAAATGTGACAACCTTGAAAAGAAGAAGCAAAAGTCTCGATGATTCTACTGTCCCAAGGCAACCATTGCTACCTACCATTTTCATTCTTTCTCACCTTTCTTGAATGCAGCCTGCTGGGAATTCTGCCTTCCTTCTTCCCATTAGCTCATTTCTGTCATTTTTTTATTCCTCTTTTTTCCATCCAATATCAAATCCAAGTGTCTTTTTCCCTTTATTATACTCTTGGTAAACAAAATGCTTAGTGACTCCATAGTAGATCATCTCATACATAAAAGATGGTGTATCCACCCAGCGTTCCCTCTGTTATTGCACTGGGTTATTCATATTATTCCCAAATGAAAATATAATCCAAACTTCAAGCAGCTGGTTTATAAGAAAATGTTTTATACTTTATCTTGCATCCAAGTTTGGAAGAGTCAGCACTGGAAACCTACAGAAACCCAAATGCACACATGGCAAAACTCTTAACACATCTGAAAGGTGGCAGATGGCCTGCTGTGGCTCCAGAGAAACAGACTGAATGTCATTGTCCCCTTTAGTTTTTGTGTGCTCTGCATTTATTTGGAATGTTTATGACAAGTACATTTTCACTACTTTTTCTTTGCATTTTTAATTCAATATTTTATATTGATGGTTTGTTTAGAGAACTCAAAATTCAAAGAGGTATAAAAGATTTTGCAGAGAACAGTTCCCCAGTTTCACTTTGCATAGATAACCAGTGTTGTTAGTAGCTTGCATGCCCTTCCAGGGCTTAAATGTGCCCTTGAGCACTCACTGGTGTGGTCAGCTCTCATGGCTTCAACCTGGCATCCAGAGGAACAGGCACAAATGGTCACGGGATAGGAACTCCCTGCCTACAGGCCCTACCTATGCATATTGTATTATCCTTATCTTGAAGATGTTCCAGGCCAGGCCCTGCCTCTGGAGGGCAGCGTTTGCGATATATGGTTTCTAATATTTGCCACTGCTCTTTAGATTTCACACACACAGCATCAGAGGTGAGAGACCTTGCTATCAGTTCTTAGTCAGAGGATGTCAGTCTAAGAAACTGTTGACCCAGGTCTGCCAAAATGACATTATGGAGAAGTGCCCTTGGAATAGTAAAGATAGAAAACAACAGCTACCAGATGTTGGCCCTCCAGTCACTAAGTCCCTTTCAGTCATCTTCACCTCTGAGTCTTTACAGCAGCCCTGCCAGGTTCTAACCTGTCGTACAAATTGGGTCATGGGAGAGAGGGTTAGAAGTAACTTAGCTGCGGGTGGCAGCTAAGAAGAGGGAGAATCAGGGTGTGAACCCAGGCACTCTGGCGCTGGGCTCCATGCCCTTACACTTGTTCATGTTGTTTGTGCCTTGTGTGGTATTACTGGTCTTTCATGATGCCCGGTTTTCTTCATTCTCCTGGGACACTCCTCACTTTGTGTCATGGTGATGTATGTATGTTTGTCTGTTCCCTATCTCTATCAACTGGTGTGGGAGTGCCAGAGAACGGGGACTTCCATATCATCAATCCCCAGTGTCTGGGACACCTGGTAAATGATTGTTAAGTGACCTGTTCCTTGTTCAGTTTCTCCTGTAGATAGCAGCTTTCTATGGGCAGAGCCTACTTATTTGTATTAGTGTCCCTGGGGCCAGGTGTTGACTCGGCACATATGAGGGGCCTTGGAGTACAGAGCCATGACAGGCAAGAGCAGCTGGCACCTCGTGGGTGGGGAATGGGAGGGAATGTTCACTTTGTGCCAAGAGGCTCAACCATGCCCCTTCTTTTTCCAGACCCTTCCTGGATATGGTATACCATGCCCTGGACAGCCCTGACGATGATTACCATGCCCTCTTCGTGCTGTGTCTCCTGTATGCCATGTCTCATAACAAAGGTAGGTGTGCTCTCGCCTGCCTACTGCTATGACCTGACCATGGCTAGATCGCCTGCTCTGCTGCTTGGGGCGGAAAGAAGAGCCCTTCATGGGGTACTTTCTTTCTGGCTGCTAAAGCTGGCTCCCGCAACACCCTTCTGCTTCTTCCCATTGCTCAGGTGCTTTCGTACAGACTGAAGCCACAGGAATTGGTGACTCAGGCAATAAGGGGAAAGCTTAGTGTTGACTGTCTAACCCACCATGACTGTCTTCACGCTGTGGCTTTCTGTCGACCCCTTGCTTTACAGTTGACTTAGCCAACAACCGCTTTCCCAACATCAGAACCAAAATCAGTCAAACCATAACCTTGGTTTTGCTATTTATAATACTTGGTGTTCCTGCCATGAGTTCAGGACTAAAATAAACCTGGGTAGATTTGTTAAAGTGTAGGTTTCCTTTCTAAAGAAAGGTGTGGTTCTCTAGCTTCCCCTGTTGAGGCTGTGTGTTTAGGATCCAGCTCATGTGGAGCTGACAGTTGATTAGGCTTCGTCATTCCTTCCCCCACTGCTGACTGCTGGGAACAGCCTCTGGTGTTTCCCCCATCTGGCTTGACATGGCATGTTTGGGAACCTCCACATCAGGCTCTCATCAAAGATAAATTAAGAAACATTTCTTCTAGCCTTGCCAAGAATTGCGGATGGCATAGATGACATGTTATACTGTATCAAGTAACATTTTAGGAGGCTTCTCATAAGCTTATTGAGAAGTCGAAGGAGTTGGTTTTTACTAAGACAACATGTCAATAGAGATAGTAAAATGTATCGATGCTGGGCATAGAGGCACACATCAGTAATCCCGGCTGCTTGGGAGGCTGAGACAGGAAGATCAGAAGGTCGAGGCCAGCTTGGGCAACTTAGACAGTTTCTCAAAATAAAAAGAGCTGGGGATATAGCTCAGGACACCCTGGCTCAGTCCCTAGTACGCTAACAAAGTAAAACAAAAAACATAAACTCAGTGTAGCTAAGCATTTATTCTTAATCACTAATTGTGAAAACTAAGTCTACTGGTGGCAAATGTGACACAAGTCTCTCCCCTACCTTCAGCCTTCAGCTCTCTCCCTCATAGGCAGCTCATTCTACCAGTTTCTTGTGTGTCTTTTCAAAGATAGCTGTGCAAACCTAAGTAGGAGTACAAGTGAATTTACTGCTGCAACTACTCCCTCAGCCATAAATGTGTCGTGCTGTCTCTTGTGCCCCTCTCTGTCATCACATACTAGCACCTGGCTTTGTGTGCATGTAGAAGTGCCTGATTTGCTTTGATCATGTGTCTGTGCCACCGTTTGTTCTAATATCTGCTTAGCAGATGGCACTGAGACTGTTGCCAGGCTTGTCCTCTTGTGAAGGGACCAGCCATAACCACTTTGCTCAGGTATAAACCATGGTGCTCATAGCATGTCTAAAGACACAGCCTGAGACATGTTTCTTTTTCTCTTTCTTCCCTCTGCCAGTATAGGGGATCAAACCTAGCCCCACACATGTTGGCAAGTGCTCTAGCACTGAGCTACACCCCAGCCCTGCAGCCTGAGCCTTTTAAAAGAAACATAGCCAGCTCCAGATCCTGCCGACTTTTCCCTCTGCAGTCTTATTGTCTCCCATGCCTTCTGTAGTTGCCTCCAGTACCTGGCTTGATGCCTAACACACAGGGACCCTCCATTACTGAGAGTACAGTGAACTCCATGAGGCCTACCAACCCCTGCCTGTGCATTGCCCACCACGCTCCAGGCCCTGCCTCTGCACCCTCCTCATTCCAACACCTCAGCTTTAGATCCTGCCTCTGTGCTTTGGCAACACCTTGAAACACTGCATTCCTATTGTATAGGTGCACTCTTCTGCCGTTCTCTTCCGCTGAAATTGCCAACCAAGCTTGAAACTGCTATAACCTTCAGCTTTCTCACTCTTATGTTCCCAGCATTTACTCATCAGATCGTGTCAGTTCTCCCTTTTCAGCCTGTCTGATCAATAGACTTTTAACTGAGCCCAGTGCCTGGCTTTGAGCAGGTGTGGAGGTCAGAGCAGAGGCATGGGGGCATGTGAGGTCTGGCCCTGGTATTCCAGGTCATTATCCTAGGCTAGGACCAACCACCAGCCTCTTGGAAGGGTCATACGTACTGCCGTTTTATAATCCATCCTCTGTCCCACCCCAGAAATGCTTTGCAGTACAACTGCTTTGACCCCCACCTTCCCTGTTCAAAAACCACTAGTGTCTCCTTCTCCCCTGATCCGACCTCTACCCTCTTGTACCTATCATTTGGGGTATGCAGATTGTACCTACTTTTCCAACTTGATTATCAGTTTTTTGGGGTTTTTTTTGTTTGTTTTTTTTTTTGGTTTTTCTCCGGTACCGGGAACCGAACTCATGACCTTGCGCTTGCCAGGCAGGCTCTTTGCCGCTAAGCTAAATCCCCAGCCCCTGCAACTTGATCATCAGTGATTCCTAGGACTTCCCTTTACTCCCTCCCAGCAGTCTTCAAATTTTTATGTAGTGACAGAACTCTTGTATGCAGATGAACCCCATGGCAGCTGTCATGGTACCTACTGAAGTCTTCAGTGATCTTTTGGTGCCAAGCAACGGAAACTGCTGTTCATTACCTGAAGCTAAAGAGAAAGCCTATTATAGGAATGCCTCTGGGGCAGCTCACAGGATCCAAGAGTTTCCTAAAAAGCCTAGACCAGAACCTTTAGCCAAAGAGATCCAGGGAGCAACCAACTCTGGGTACCCCAGCCTTCCCTCAAGGGCTCTTACTTGGTCCCAGCAAACCCTAGGCTGGGAGTCTGTCTATTCCAGGTTCAAATTCTTAGACAGGATTCCAGCTTGGTGATGTCTAACTTGAAAAATGCAGACTTGGTCCTGAGGGCTCAGCCCTGTGTCGGGGACTGATCCCTAGAACAGAACTGCTTTGGAAGCCTGGTAACCATTCTGGTCAGTGTCAGCACATCTGCCTGTTCCTGGAGTCTAGCTTCTTTTTTATTGGTGTTTTTTCCTGTCATTTTCTCTTCTCCAACATCATTACCTGTTGAAATGCTGCTTGTCTGTTAGTGTTCTGCTCAGAAGTCACCTTCTCCAGAAAACCCTCTCCAGTCCTTTCAGGGTTAATGCCACATAATGTGGCACTTTCTATACATTGCTGGATTTGATGTGCTAACATTTCAATATGTTTTACATGTATGTTCAGGAATGATACTGGTATGGAGTCTTCTGTCTCGTTTTGCTCTCAGCATTTGCTTACTTACAGAATGAACTGGAAAATATTCTTTCCTCAGTTTTTTGAAAACAGATTTTAGAGAACTAGCGTTATTTCTTTTTAAAATATTCCTTAAATCAATGAAGCCATCTGGGCCTGCAGTCTTGCATGAGAGTTTTGTTTGTTTGTTTTTGCAGTATTAGAAATTGAACACAGGGCTTTACTAGGTGAATACTCTACCACTAAGCTACATCTCCAGCCCCTTTTTAAATTTTGCTTTGAGGCTGGGTTTCACTAAGTTGCTCAGGTTAGCTTAGACTTGCCATCCTCCTGCCTCAGCCTCCTGAGCAGTTAGGATTACGGGTGTACACCATCACGTCCAGCCGAGCAGAAGTTTTTAATTAGTCAGTTTCTTCAATAGACAGAAGGCTATTTAAGGTTCTCTGTTTCTTCTTGAGTGAGCTCTGGTTAATTTGTATCTTTTAAAGAATTTGTCATTTCATCTAGATTGCTGAATTTCTTGCCATAAATTTGTTCATAATACTCCTTTATCATCTTTTTATTGTCTGTAGGATCTGTAGTGATGCCTCCCTGTAATTCATGGTATTGATAATTTGGATTGTAGAGTTTTTTTCCTGACCAGTTTGGCTACGGGACTGTCAGTTTTATTGGTGTTCTCTGTCACTTTTCTGTTTTCAGTTTCATCAGTTTCTTTATTTCTTACCTTCTGCTTATTTCAGATTTAATTTACTCTTCTTTGTATAGTTTCTTAAGCTAGAAGCTTGGATTATTGACTTTATAAGTTAGTGCATTTATTTTAACTTTAAATTAATGCAGAGTAAAATTAACTTTTTGCATATAGTTCTGTGAATTCTAGCACACATGTGGATTTATGTGGGCATCACCACAGTCAGGATATACTACGCTTTCTTTACCCTCATGCTACTCTTTTTTGATCACATCGACTTTACAGCTTTCACTGATTTTTTAGCTTTCTTTTTTCGTAAGAATTTAATGCTGTGTCTAAGAACTGCTTTAGCTACATGCAGTAAATTTTGATATATGTGGTTTATTTTAATTCAGTTTAAGTTATTTTATAATTAACTTTTTGATTTCTTCTTGTCTATCATTTGTGTGGTGTCAAGCTGCGTTTCTATTAACTGATTTTTCTTTTGCTTTTGGATTCTGTTCACCCACACCATTTATATTCTTTATTGTTGTTGTTACTGTTTTTGTGTATCTGGTAACTTTTGATTGGTTGACAGTGTGAATTTTACATTGTTGGATGCTGGATTCTTTTTTCCTTTAAATATTTTTGGGCCTATGGTTAAGTTATTTGGAATTGGCCTGCTTCTTGCTGAGGCTTGCTTTTAATATTAGTAAAGCTGGTCCAGACAGCATCTGGTCTGAGGCTAGTGTGACTCCCACTGGTGAGGCAGTGCTTTTCTGAGACTTTACACAATGTGCAGTGGATAGGTCGCCTCTGCACACTGCCCAGCCCTGTGTGCACTCCAGGGATTGCTCCACCTGCTTCATAACAGAAAGTCTTTTCCTCTCCTCACATTGTGCAGAGATCAGAACTTAGCTGGAGCCCAGAAGGAACCATCAGCACTTCTCAGATGCTTTCTCTGAGGAGTCCTTCTTTTCAGGACTCCCATAAACTGCAGCGGCTTGGCTTCTCTGACTCCCAATGCTGCCTCTTCCTCTCCTGAGGCCTGGGATCTCTCTAGACAATGAGCTGGAGCAGTCGCTGGACCACCTCCTTTGATTGCTTTTTCAG